CACCTATTGTTGGTGGACGATTTTCTGATCTTGTCACAGTCACCAAAAGAACTTCAAAGAAGAATCAAACAGCTGAACGTCAACAGCAACGCATTCTAATTGAAAATGAATTTGAAGTAGACTCAGGTTATGTTTAACAAATATTTAAGCTTGCGACCTGTTGAAGTCAGTGGACTCAGGCTTGAAAAAATGCGGAACATCATCAATCTGGGACAGCATATCTCTGCAACGCAGAACTGATTATGAGAAATTGGCAAAAGAATAGAAATGGCAGGAAGAACTTTTGAAAGAATGTTCCTGTGCGGAAAACTGCCGTTGTACTTGAAACAGAAGGAAAGTTTTCGATCAATATGTGCTTCCGGTGCTCAGTTTTTGTCTGAAAGCAATTCGTAAACTACAGGTTACGCAGTGCAACATGGAAAGATATATGCTGGATAAAACCTGGGAAATATAAAAAAATGAATGAATGGGTAGGAGTATAAGCATAGGCCTTTGATATCATTGCCTCAGTGAGGAAGTTAAAGTTTCGGAGGGCTCAACACGTTACATGAAGCTGACCTTTTCTGAAGAACAGGAACGTTAGACTTGGGTCCAAGGGAGAGTAAACGGTTCTCAGGAATACCTTCGTAATGATTCCTGGATGAACTGAACGCTGAAGAATTTAGTTGGATGAAAATGGATAGAATGAGACGAAAAGAAGTTTATGGCAAAGTCTTGAAGAGGCCTTCATCCAGCACTGGATCGACAAAGACTAATGATTTATGCCATAGCTGCATTACGAAGTGGGTAACAAGTTTTGGTACGGAACCAAGTTTCCGACGATGCCACCAGCCGTATCAATTGCAGACATCATATATGTGTTATGATATTAATTAATATTTATCTCACTCGTATCATCTAGCGGTGTCAAGTACGTGCGTAAAGCTGAAATAAGTTTCTAATTGATTTCTTTTCAGTTTCTTCAACTTCCTTCTGACAGCAACCAGACGATACAATTGAAAAAGAAAGCATCACGTGTCATTTATTGTCTCAGCATTGGAAGTTTCAGTCATGTGTTTTATCGGATTTCGTTAAAGTAGGTTTGAGACATTGATTGCAGTCGTTATGAAGTTGTTTTTTGTTTTAATTTACGTCTACACATTGAACTGATTTTTAGTCAGCTATCACCTCTGCGAAGCTGAATCACGACCTTAAAACGCACGAATCAGACAACATGGCCGTATGTCTCACACGCTTTGGCATGCCCACACCAAAGCATTATGCTGTCCTCATTATTCAGCTGCTATCCTTTTCTCAGCTGGTTACTCAGAAGCACACTAGAGCTCATTACTGGCTCAATGGAATTAGCAGCTAATTAGAGAAAATCCATTCCTCGCTTTGCGGAGTGAACCCGCTCTATAACATACAAAGTAAAGTACTAACCAATTGCCCCGCTGCCCCCCCC